TTATTTCACAAAAACTTTTAATCTTTGGTATCTTGTTACAGTTTCCAAAAAATCCTTATTTGCCATAAATATGAACTATCTTTGCATTTTTTTGCTTTGTAGGCAAATGATACAATAATTGTGAATAAGTACTTTGTATGAAAGCCAAAATACTACTTTATTTACATTTTGCCACCTTTACGACACGTGACTGCACATTCAGTGCTACTTTCTTCAGTTAGCATCTTACATTCTCAAATCCATTTGTAAAGACGCGTTTGAGATTTAGAAATAATGTAATGGAGGTGGATTTCTGAGGCATAATGTATCTTTAAATAACAATAATATAAATCTGAATAGACACTGACAACACTATGAATGTGATGAGCTTAAATAACAAATATAGACATCTGAATAGAAAATGACAACACTATGAATGTGATGAGCTTAAATAACAAATATAGACATCTGGATAGACACTGACAACACTATGAATGTGATGTGCTAAAATAACAAATACAGACATCTGGATAGACACTGACAACACTATGAATGTGATGTGCTAAAATAACAAATATAGACATCTGGATAGACACTGACAACACTATGAATGTGATGTGCTAAAATAACAAATATAGACATCTGGATAGACACTGACAACACTATGAATGTGATGTGCTAAAATAACAAATATAGACATCTGGATAGACACTGACAACACTATGAATGTGATGTGCTTAAATAACAAATATAGACATCTGGATAGACACTGACAACACTATGAATGTTGATGTGCTAAAATAACAAATAAAGACATCTGGATAGACACTGACAACACTATGAATGTGATGTGCTAAAATAACAAATATAGACATCTGGATAGACACTGATAACACTATGAATATGATGAGCTTAAATAACAAATACACATCTAAATAGAAAATGACAACACTATGAATATGATGAGCTTAAATAACAAATACACATCTAAATAGAAAAAGACAACACTATGAATGTGATGAGCTTAAATAACAAGTACACATCTAAATAGAAAATGACAACACTATGAACGTGATGAGCTTAAATAACAAATACACATCTAAATAGAAAATGACAACACTATGAATGTGATGAGCTTAAATAACAAATACACATCTAAATAGAAAATGACATCACTATGAATGTGATGAGCTTAAATAACAAATACACATCTAAATAGAAAATGACAACACTATGAACGTGATGAGCTTAAATAACAAGTACACATCTAAATAGAAAATGACATCACTATGAATGTGATGAGCTTAAATAACAAATGCACATCTAAATAGAAAATGACAACACTATGAACGTGATGAGCTTAAATAACAAATACACATCTAAATAGAAAAAGACAACACTATGAACGTGATGAGCTTAAATAACAAGTACACATCTAAATAGAAAATGACATCACTATGAATGTGATGAGCTTAAATAACAAATACACATCTAAATAGAAAATGACATCACTATGAATGTGATGAGCTTAAATAAAATAAAAACATCTGAATAGACACTGACAACACTATGAATGTGATGAGCTTAAATAATAAATACAGACATCTGAATAGAAAGTGATAACACTTTGAATGTGATGAGCTTAAATAACAAATACAGACATCTGAATAGAAAATGGCAACTTTTTGAATGTAATAAGCTTAAATAACAAGTACAGACATCTGAATAGACACTGACAACACTATGAATGTGATGAGCTAAAATAACAAATACAGACATCTGAAAAGACACTGATAACACTATAATTGTGATGAGCCTAAAAACAATAAAAACATCTGAATAGATACTGACAACACTATGAATGTGATGAGCTTAAATAACAAATACAGACATCTGAATAGACACTGATAACACTATGAATGTGATGAGCTTAAATAACAAATACAGACATCTGAATAGAAACTGATAACACTATGAATGTGATGAGCTTAAATAACAAATACAGACATCTGAATAGAAACTGATAACACTATGAATGTGATGAGCTTAAATAACAAATACAGACATCTGAATAGAAACTGATAACACTATGAATGTAATGAGCTTAAATAACAAATACAGACATCTGAATAGAAACTGATAACACTATGAATGTAATGAGCTTAAATAACAAATACAGACATCTGAATAGAAACTGATAACACTATGAATATAATGAGCTTAAATAACAAAAACAGACATCTGAATAGAAACTGATAACACTATAAATGTGATGAGCTTAAATAACAAATAAAGATATTTGAATAGACACTGATATCACTATGAATGTGATGAACTTAAATAACAAATAAAGATATTTGAATAGACACTGATATCACTATAAATATAATGAACTTAAATAACAAATACAGATATTTGAATAGACACTGATAACACTATAAATATAATGAACTTAAATAACAAATACAGACATCTAAATAGACACTGACAATACTATGAATGTAATGTTAAGTGTTTTCATAATGACCTTGTTTTTGGGCTGAAGACTGTCATAAGCACAATAACAAGGCCATTATGAAAACGCTTAATTATTGAGAATTTTATTAATTAACTACACATATTCTAAATAGTTAAGCACTTAGTGAACAAAATATAACTAATGTGAAATTTCGTTGATGTGAGGTATTGCAAATGAGATTATTGTTTTAAAAATGTCTCGAAAACAGACCTTGCAACAATTCAAAATGGCGGTTTTTTCCAATGAAAAAAAAGCAGATTCATAATGGCCAAGCTGGAGAGCCAATCCAATTTCTCTAGTATCATAACAGCCGAAATTTCTCTTAAAGGTCGTACTTTTTGCATAATGGTCTCGTTTTATGTACATAATGTCGTAGTGAACTTCATATTAGCCTTATATTTGAAGTGAAAACGTACATCATATTGAAAAAGTTAATGAATAATCTGATATAATACAAATGTATGATAAAGCGAGTAAAACATAAGCATATTGTAAGTAAATATTACACATATTAATTTTCTATATTTACACAATTTTACCATTATTAGCATACGGATGTTTGAAAGTAATGATGTTAAATTAATACTGCACAACATGTGTCAAGTGCAAAGTGGCAGCTCCAAAAAATTTTCTGGTCCATCAGATCATTGATTCCAGGGCACATTAAGTGTTAAAAATTGAGTAACGCACAAGCCGGTGCTAGGGGGCGTGAGGGATGCTGCTCGTTTTCATTACCCCTTATGGACAGACTTAATCATACCGAGTCTGCAATCTTCATGTTATTTTGTTGTTTTTAATGCTTCCGAGGCATCACACTCTTTTCAGATTTTTATATATATTTTACTAGGGTGATCTTTGCAAATGGGGCTACCTACATATAATTTAGACTTGTTCTTAGTTGTTTTTTTTTATTTCTATTCCTTTTTAATGATTTCAATATCAAAAGTACTGTTATGCCACACAACAAACAATACAGTGTTTGGTGAGAATGTACAGTAGAATATTGAATGGGTAACTTCCGTTTGTAAAACACATTACTGTCTTTTATTCTCAAATCAGCTTAATGCACAGTCGATATACAAAATATACTAGGCTTAATTTCAAACTCATTTCTGAATATAATTATCACTATTTTATATAGTACCGTTCATGAAAATATGCATTATGCATTAATGCGACGTTATTTATTCTAAATTAATCTCAATTTGCATAATTAAATTTCAACAAAAGTATAATGAATTATGAACGACATTAACTTAAGCTCAGCTGCTTGTGATTTCAAAGCCAATTTCCCTGTTATTCTGTAATTTCCATGAAGTTATTTAATTTCGACCACTTCTCCACGTTAACGGACATATTACATTGGAATTTTTTATTTCTGCATTTTTAAAAAAATACAAAACCGTTTATATGTAAATAAAAACAATTATGATTTACTAATTTCGTATCTTTCCTTTTTAGATAAATAGTTTATTATTTAAAGACAATTTTTCGAAGCATCAAATTTAATTTTAGGTATATGTGTTACGCTATTAACAAATAATATAGTTTAAACCACGTCAACCAGCGTGATTCACGTTGAAACCAATGCCATTGCCCGTGCGACGTTTTCTGTACTATCTTTAACTTTGCTAGGATTTTTACGGCACATACATTTTGACAAGCTTAAATCAATGTGAACTGGTCGAAATTACTTTTAAATTAATGAGTTCCATAATATAACGAATTATCTAAGTTGGAAGTATTGTCTAATAAATAGCATAAGGTAACTATTTAAAATATTTTACAATTCCAAAGACTCTGTATAAACGGTTGTATGGTTATATCAGCCTAGCTGCAAATGAATTTATAATTCAGCACTATTCCTTTTAACGAAACTCAACATTACCACACAAAACGATTACTTTTATTTAAAAAAAAGTCAAGATTACGCAATGACGATCGACATAACATATATAAAATCGTGAAAAATAAGTAAACTAAAACAACTACAATAAATTTTCAGCCCTTCTCAATGTACATGTAAAAACAAAGTGTCTTTTCCATGTTCATTTAATTGTAGCACGTATAACTTATTTCTTAATATAAAAGTGATCCGCCAATACTGAACATCTGGTCACAGTAAGTGCTATTAATTTAGAATGTTTCAATAACATCGGATGAAGAAGAAAACAAAAACAAACAAAAAAAGTTGATAAGATTTCTAACGTAAGCATTCTCGACTAATTATTACATTTAAGTTTAACTTGGTTCTGATTACCGCTTGTTCCGTCGTCACAAATTCGATGTTTGCAGTTAAGTAGATGAGGCTCGTCCCCTTGACAAATGAATACCACGTAATTCTCATAATCTGGCATGCCTTTGAAATCGAGATTCCGCTTTTCATTTCTGTGAACAAACAAATCGAAACAAAGTAATATAACAATGTGATATAAACTTTTTTCTGATTTTTTAATATCTGATGAATCATTTCATAACCTTTTCTTTTGTTATATTTCTCATTGTTTAGATTAAGGTTCTTGATTTATGACTAAGTATTTAATTATAACATAATAATAAAGGTTGATTTTATGATTGAAATATTAATGTAATTCTGATACGTTTTGGAATAAAATATAATAGACAAAAACGCGCAAATTAAAAACCGAGAAGGCTGTGAATAAACAAGTTTTGGGACAACAAAATGATGAAGTTTACCAGTTACATCTTTTATATTTAACATAGTATATAAACTTGCCTACTTCCTGTTATAGGAGAAAGGTACAGTGACCGCAAGTAGCATATGTACTTTTTACAGTGATATTGTTTATATATACTGTTTTAAATACAGCAACAAAAGCTTTAAAGTTTTGTTCGTGATTGTTTATCATTACCCCACCATCGCACGATGCTGCGATTTTGAAACGCAATATAACCATAGACGAACAAATTCTTAAAAAATTGTTTTAATATATTCGGATCGATTTGCCAGCTACTGATTAGTTATACCGTCGCGTCTCTATCGGTGAATAAGAAACATCGCATCTTCGTTATTTCATTATCATTATGTAACCTATCTTTATATCATCCACTTTTCGCCATCGTAGCATCGTACGTTGTGGGTAAGGGTACAATGAAAACTAATACCAAAAGAAGTGACTCTGTAATCAACGGAGTTCTTTGAAGACCTTAATCTTAATTAATAACTGTTTCAAAAACAAGCAAAGTACATGAGAAAAACGTGTAAATTTGATGGAATTTAGAGTATAGGGGAGAGAGAACCTCGCCTTTTTTGTCACTTTATAAATATGTTATGAAAAAATATACGATATAGAATATTCAAGATTTTTTTTCTTAAGTACGGGATTTGTTTTCATCCAGTGGTATGAAAAACAAATATTTCGTGGATTGGCCACAAGTAGTACAAAAAGAAATCTCGTTTTTATAAAAAAAAAAAAAAACTTGAAATTTCTGTTTATCATAATCTTTTTTCTATGTTTATCTCACAAATGTAAATACTCTTCTTTTAAAGTAGTTTATTGGCTGTTTTTAGAAGAAAGTAGTTCCAAAAATGGCAGTGAAAATACGCAAATATGTGTCACTGCAGTGAAAAATAACTTTTTACAATGAAAATATAGAAAACGAAAATATGCATTTTATGTAATCAGTTTTTCTTCATATTTCATTATTAAACATATAATAAACTGTCATATCATATTAAATTGAAAATAAGAAAAGAGAATTGCGTACGCTAAAATAAATATGTAGTCATGGGAGTACATATCAAACGTGTGAAAATTAAAATAACTTACGACTCATCTGGAAACATTGAGCGGCATGCGACTTTTGATTCTTTTTTATTCCATTCGTGTCCATTGTTGTTGCATTTCTTACCAACCGGAGACCACGTGTCCAAGAATTTTACCCATAAAAGGTCATTCTTTTTCTGGGGTATCGGATTTTCCGTTGATGGTAATTCAGACGAAATAGTGATATTTTTAAATGATCCACCTGCAAAAAAGGGTAATTAAAATGAGAACCTCTGTCGCATTAGGACTGCAACTGTTTCGTTACTATTTTGTGTTTGTTTGTATTTTTTTTCTTCTAAAACAACAAGGAGATGGATGCTTATTTCTCAATTTTAATGTATATCGATGAACATTAAATATATGAAAAATTATAATTTGTGTGGAATAAACGACGTTGAGATTGATTTTCAACAAGACTGCCCCCATAAAAGCCTTATCCAAAGGGCCAGTCTTGTTTGCTATTACATGCTACTGTCAGCGCAATATGTTACATAATTATCTTCAGTGTCTTGTGTAATCATTAAACAAGAGCTAAATATCGCGCGACATTTCAAAGATCTTGATAAACATTATAGCCACGCAGAAAAAAACACAACATAGAACGGAATATGACCGAAAAAAAATAAAAGAGTTACACACCCAGCCACAACAGGGCACCCAGACCGCACCAAAATATTAATAAATTCCACTATATAGTTTTCAATCTACATATAATATATCCATATATAAATCTAGCATACGAATTAAAATAAAAAAAGATGTTGTCTGCATGCTATACAAAATAATATATTGTCCAAATGAAATGCAAAACGTTTTCAATCAGAGAACATACAAATACCAATATAATTTATGTAAAATACTTTACCATCACTGATGTTTGATTTGAAGCAAATTAAAACCATCATTGATCTTTGACTATCTTCCGTACCCTTGTAGATACATTCCCCCAATGTTTTCTCATTTCCATTACAACGTATGTTCACCGCAATGCTCTTGGTCTGCGATGATCCTGTGTGCCAAAGAAGTCTTATTGAGCCGCCGAATCTATAACAAACACACAGACAGATAGTTATTTCAAATATTAAAACAATTTTAGGTAAACTTGTGCAGAACGCTACTCGAGTTGTAAAAAACAACAACAACTGAACTGAAAGAAATTAAACACGTAAATATACACAAACTGAAGGAAGTTTGTTTTAAAAGAATCATTTTTTTTTTATGTTACAGCAATATCTTTTAGCAATGTTCAATCTCTTAGAATATTTGAGCCGCGTCATGACAATACCAACATAGTGCGCGGATGCGCAGGCTGGTCTGGATCCATGCTGGTAGCAAACCCATTATGTTGGTTTTGTCATGGCGCGGCTCATTTATACAACGGTATGGACATTTTATATATTGTCATATATATGACGTGTGTCATTTAACGAATTTAATAAGTTTGTATCATGTGTTAGGTCAATAAATATAGTTTTCATAAAAATTATTAAATAATGAGATTTATTACGAACTACAGAAATAATTGATATATCAAACGTCATTGTTTACTCAATTGTTTATTTTAATGCACTTGTTAACCCCATCCTTCGATTGTGGTTCTCTCATCATCATAATTATCATCACCACCATCATCATGATTATCATCACTACTTTACAACATCATTCATCATTCATCATCATTATTATAATCATTATTATTATTATTATTATTATTAATTTTATTTTTTTTTTATTCTGTTTTCTATTATTATTATTATTATTATTATTATTATTATTATTATTATTATTATTATTATTATTATTATTATTATTATTATTATTTTTATTCGTAACATCATACGATATTTTTTCGAAAAGACGTCTTATTTGAAACAAACACACAGACAGATATTTTTTCGAACATATATGCAACACATATGAACACCAGGGTCCGAGGTTGTAAAGAAATTCCTATAACTCAAACTCAGATCCCAGGCATTTGATTGGTCAGAAATTGCCACAGAATGTTCACTGACCAATGAAAATCATGACCTTTGAGACAGAACTCTGAAAAAAGTTTTCTAACATTTAGGCCAGAATTCGGAAGTGGCAATGTTGATTGGAAACTATCAAACTTACTCTAGATCAAGAAGGTCTCTACAGGCAACCTGAGTTTCTTTCCAATTCCAGTTGTCGCTGGAAACGTGTTTCCATTCGCCATCATGATTTGTTTCAAGATTTGGTCTGACATAATTTTCGGTTTCTTCTTCATTACTAAAACGAAATCCTGTAATAAGAAGCAATTTACATGTTATTGCATAGTGTAAAAGACCATGAAGTTTTCATCTTGGGCATGTATTGATTATTCGGGACAGAAATATCTTATATAGAGTTTTTGATGTATTTGGTACTTTTTTCAACATTACCATGGTTAAATGTTGTATTCCGTTTAAGCCAGTTTTACGGGGCGTGGACAGTAACTTGCACATTCAATAACCGTCCATGAACAGACTCAATCAAACCGAGCCTGCAACATATTCAATTATACAGAGTTTGAAATTTGTAAAAGACGTGGAAGGAAGAAATACATTCATATATAACATTAATTTCGTTTAATTTTAGAGAGTACCTCACCAACACATTTGTCAATTTTCTTGTCCCATTTTAGATTCTGCTTACACGTGGCTCTACCCTCGCCTTTCATACCCTTGGGACACTTTACGATATTCACAGAGCCAACGGTTCGACCATTAAAAGTTCCCATTTTCGGTAAAGGACACACAGGTCGACCTAGTAAAAATGAAAGAAAAAATATGTTTAGCAAATGTATAAATAAAAGCACTTACTTATATTCATTAATCTGACTGCTTCCTTGAGCAGACTGGTCTGGCTCCACATTGCTTAAAAATGGAAATATGACCGCTAACACACCAAAATGTATTTAACCAAATAATTACTCATTCCAACGAGTAAATATAGTTTCATGTCTGCTATTTTATATAACATCATTTGAGCCGTGTCATGACAAAACCAACATAATGGGTTTGTTACCAGCATGGATCCAGACCAGCCTGCGCATCCGCGCAGTCTGATCAGGATCCATGCTGTTCGCTATCATTTCTCTACTTGTAATAGGGTTGTAAGCGAACAGCATGGATCCTGATCAGACTGCGCGGCATGCGCAGGCTGGTCTGGATCCATGCTGGTCGCAAACGCCACTATGTTGGTTTTGTCGTGACGCAGCTCATTTTATTTTCGAGATCAATTACAAGAATTAATACATACTAAAATTGCATGCAAGAGTACGAGCATTTCCCGTCATCTGAAGACATCAAAAGCGACTTTGGTATACACACCTCGTTGTCATTACAGGGACGACTGTAGCACATTTCGTCAACCTTGCAAACACATAAATGAAATTAATAATTTAAAAGGTCTATTAAGGCAAAGAAATGCTTATTTTTTATTTCTCAAAAGTGGTTTTTGTGTGTGTGTCCTGTTATAGTTTCCAAAAATTTACTAATTAGTCAATAACATTGGACCATCTTTCACTTCTGTTGCTTTTTATGCAATTACAATGTAGACTTCTTATATTGTATGGAAGTCAATATAATACTTTTTTACATTTTGCTTCTTTTATGACAAATCATTTGACATTCAACGTTACTTTCTTAAGATGATAAGGTTTTATTGTTATCTAAATACCTTATTTAAACGTTACAACATTCATGTTTCCCATTCTAAGAAAGGAAAAAAATATTTGAGCCGTGTCACGACAAAACCAACATAGTGCGTTTGCGACCAGCGCAATCTGATCAGGATCCATGCTGTTCGCTTACAAACACTATTACAAGTAGAGAAACTGATAGCTAATGCTAATTATGTTGGTTTTGTCGTGACGTGGCTCATTTGGTTCTTAAGCAAAATGTGACGTAAATAACAAAACCTACAGTTGTTTAGGCAGTAGCGGATAGCTAAGGAGATCGGCGCTGCTTATGTCTTTAATAATAATATTAAGAAAATCAAATTGATACCATTCAGTAGTCAAACTACTTCCCTTTTTAAAATAAAATATTTTTTAACCGTATCTTTGACATTACATGTAGTACTCTTTGTTTATGTTCGGCATATAGTTCAGTTAGTAACGGATAGCTTTGGGGAATATGGGATAGGTAGGTGAAGGTCAATGAGGGGGAGTCTCAAAACGTTCTAAATTTAGTATTTACAAAGTACATGTCACAGAAACATGTTTTGGAGTTACTGGAATGAAAAATGTTACATTTGAAATTAAACTTTCAATTTTTTTACATGTAAACCAAGGATATATATTATATGGCACATGATTTTACAACAATGTTTATTCAGATCAATGATTGGCATTTTCTCTTAAAACAAATCACAGACAATATCAAACATCTGGAGTTTGATGTCCATGACACTACCTTCTGACATAATGGGAAGTGTGTCAGATAACATATGAACAGTGTCATCCAAATTATCAACAATAAGTGTTCAAAAAACAGGGTATAACAAGGCCACCATCTTTTTTTATTTGAAATTGTCCAATGTGGAAAACTGGGAACTGGTCCACATGTTGCAGTGACAAAGGCTGATTTTTCCACAACTGTCAAGTACATTTCTAAAGCAACTTGCTAAAATCTTTGGTGCATGGCCAATAGGTAGCCCTGCAATATCAGACAACATTTAAGTTTCTTTGTTTATCTGTAATCAAAGTGTATAAATGTTTGTCAAATGATGTTCATTCTGACATCAACACTCGGACATCAATGTCTTAAATATTAGTGTATTCTATGTCAATAATTAACCTAGTCTGTGGTTCAGTGACCAGCTATAATTTTGATTTTCATACTATTAGATATTTTTATATATGTATCGATAGGAACATATAATCTTTTACAAAATGTTCATACTTTCTAAAAATTAGTAGAAAAGTACTTCTTCTTGGTACCTATGACACTTTTTACACATGGACTTTCATTTGATGGTTTCTTCTTACAGGGTTTACCCATCATTGGATTTTTAAAATGAATATAAAAAAAAATGATAAAAAAATTATGATATAAAACTATGGTTAATATAATTATAGATTTTTTAAAGAAATAACTATGGTAAACTATAGTTATGTTCAAACTATTACATGTCACTGTTGCATCATAAGTTGTTGACCAGATATTTAGTTATATATTTATTTACTTGTAAATAGCTTTATTTATTTAAAAATTATTTATTTATTCATTTATTTTGTAACATCACAGTATACAAGCAATGATAACTATATAATATGTTGCAATTTAACAAATAAAAAAAATATTTCCTAAGATCAATATAGATGAATTAAAAAGTAAACTATAGATTCTGAATACATAAACTACAAAAATTTTGCAATAAACTTGAGCTGAGCATGTGTAATAAGTATGAAAAATGAAACAACAAATTTCAATGAAAAAGAGGTCTGTTTTACATTAAAGCTATTATTAATCTTATAATCTAGTTGAAAGAAGAGTTAATAATGATGGTATATTCAAAGTATTAATACAACTCAGTTAAAATTATAAAAAGATAGAATAAATAATATTATACCATTAAAACTGGGATATTGTTAAAAGTGTACTTTAAATCCACTTTTGACGGCGTTTTGACAGATAAAATAAATTTTGAGACCACCCCCCAATGTTAAATCCGTTACTGACAGAAGCACTTGCTATTCATTTTCAATAATTTTTAGTGTCAGTACGCGTTATATCTGTAAAAGCTTTTGCAAAATTATAAACAAATGATTTTTACACCAAATCATGTCAATATTTCATTACTTTACTTGGTGTTGATCAATAGTTTTCTGTTTATTTCTTTTGGAAGCGCTTATAAACAGTCTGACCGTGACAACATCCGGTTACCTCGTTCTGATTTATGTAAGAAAAACTCGCTGTGCAATTTGAAATAAATAAAACAAAATTAGCGACGGATGGCAAATATATCACTCTTTTTGATGGTATAGTTGTATTATTTTGAAAAAGGCATATTTGATGGAAAGGAGCATTGTTACTGCCATGTTATCCGCTATACCCTAAAATCCGCTACTGCCTAATCAACTGTAATCAGGTTTGTTTGCGTCAATGAAATTTTTCAAACTGTAACACAACTGTGACAAATACAATAATACCTAGATAGAATAATACATATAAAACCTAAACAGAATGCATACTCTAACAAAACCAAAAAAATGAATTTATTTACGAAACAGTTTGCGAATCTAATTGCCTGTTAGTTATACACATTAAATATTTTTATGTGAAACGTGTTCAGCTGTTATGAATAATCCTATAATTAAAAATAAGATGTATTTATTTTTAGAAAAAAAAATCTAATTTAAGGAAACAAAATAATTTTTTAAAAACCTCCGGAGGCCATGCGCTGGAACTCAGAGTAAACGTTGGAATCTGATGCCTTTTGTGTCCCGTCCCGAACGTTATTGTTTAACTCACACATTCTTGTTTTCAGGTCAAAGTTGATAGACTTGCATTTACTTTGTCGTACACAAAGTTTCATGCAGTGTTCGACGCTCAGCGTCTTTGCGCCCCAAAATTTCGTAGCACCTATTCCCGTTTCATGAATAAGATATTTTGATGCATCAAAACATTGTCCAGTGTCCCCGCTTGCATTGTTAAAAAGAAACTTTAAGAAAAGACACGCGAAACCAAGTAAACCGTCCATTATGGTGATCCGCTAACCTACCCAATTTTTTGTTTAAATGATATCTATGCAGGCATATATCCGGAGAAGAGTAAATAATTAGAAGAAACCGTTTTTACTATGCTTATCACATTGAAAAAATAAATAATTATGAATAAATTCTTATTTAAATGTACCAAATGAAAATATCAGTTTTGCCGTGACAATTATCCGATTTGTGAAATTGCCAAGCCGTTTCATCGTGGGCATATATATCTAAACGGTTGTCAATCACTGCAGACTGATTTCCGTAACTCGGTTCACTGTACTAAGATAGCCAATCAGCTATCAAAATCAGTTTGCTTCATACCCATGCAAATATAAATAATGCGTGTCACATAAAAATATTTATCAGCAAAAACAAAACTTGTAGTCTGAGTGTAATTGCAAACATGTTTTGAAAAGTGTAATGACGCTTAACGGAATATCTAGCGTCGCAAAAGATAATATGGGCCGCGCCATGACTAAACCAACATAATGGGTTTGCCACCAGCATGGATCGAGATCAGCCTGCAGTCTGTATTTTAACTGTTGCAATATGGTACATTTTGCGAAGTCTGATCAGGATCCATGCTGTTCGCTATCCGTTTCTCTACTTGTTATAGGATTTTTAAGCGAACAGCATGGATCCGGATGCGCAGGCTGGTCTGGATCTATGCTGGTCGCAAACCCATTATGTTGGTTTTGTAATGGCGCGGCTCAATTATAAATTATAAAAGGGAGTACCCTTATGCATATTGCAACAGTTAAAATACAGATACTGTTATTTGAGTTTGTTTTATGGCAAATGGTTAACAACCAACCAAACTGGAGAAGGCTTCATATTTGCCATATCTGTTAAGCACAGTCATCGCTTTGACATACATGTATATACATGCATATATGAGCCGCGTCACGACAAAACCAACATAATGGGTTTGCGACCAGCATGGATCAGTCTGATCAGGATCCATGCTGTTCGCTTACAAACCCTATAACAAGTAAAGAAACTGAGCGCAGGCTGGCCTGGGTCCATGCTGGTCGCAAACCTATTATGTTGGTTTTG